AAAAGTTGACAAGCTCTCCGATGAAAAACAGCAGGATGGGATTCAGGCTGCACCCTCTTTCCAAAATTCCACCTGATCTGTGACTTTCAATGCATTTGGTGCCACAAATGTTGACTGTCTGAATGAACCTGCAAGCACAAGAAAAAAAAAACTATTTATCAAAGCAGTGTTTACAAAATTTGCCTTGACTGTCAAGCTTGTTGGTGCTGTATGCACTTTGACCTTATATACTACATCTGAATGCACCTACAAGGAAGGTACATAATTAGTTGATAATCAGAGACGAGTATAATTAATTATAATTTGCACTTACAAATTGCATAAATAACATTACAGTGTTTCCCACAGACTTTCATTCTATTTGTGGCAGCATATATATGCAAACTCATTCTCTGCCAGCAGGAGGTGCTGTTGGAGTGGTAGATATCGAGGTTTCCCCGGTAACGCTGTACACAAAGCAGAGCTCCACTCACAAAAGCTGCATTATCAGACATTACAAACAAGAAGAAATTAAAATGAGTTTCCTTCAGAAATACAGCGATATAAAAACACCCGCACCCGGTTTCGATTTTGAAACGTGCAGTGCTCATGTTTATTCAACATGTGCTAGCATGTTCCTCTCAAAGTCAACCTGTTCTGTGAGTTAGTGGAGCACAGCAGCTAGAGGCTAATTTAGTGACAATAAAGTTAGTTAAGCTGATGGAAGCTCACCTGCTGTTAGCACCGCTACGAGGCAATCACAAGACTCCAATACACCTCAGATGCAGACGACATGACCACAAACTTGAAAATAAAATACAAAATATGTTATTAGCAGTGGTGTTTCTTCACTCAGTTTTCCTCAGTAGGTTGTTAGCTCGCTGTTTTATGTTAACGTTACTAAAGTTACATCTCTAAAGTTACATACGACATTGGTACACACTTTCTGACTTAAATAGCATTTGAAGAGAATTACCTTACTTGCGATAAAAAGGCAGAGTAAAGAAAATAATTGACTATGCTTCTCTTTGTTCAACTAAGTTAGTTAACTTCGGCTAAATTACATTATTAACATACCGGTTGATGTTATCATCGATACTATGGCATTCACAAGAAGAGGATCCAAAATACACCTCCGACGTTGCAGACTACATCCAGACTAGAAATCTGAAAATAACAAACAAAAGAAGTACTAGAAAATACTGTTTAAAATCTCCACTGAAACAGTGGTTTGCCTAAAGCACTTTACCTCAGTATTTCACGTTAATTCGCTGTTAAGGTTAAATAAAGGCTGGCCAGAGGAGCTAACTTGCATTAAAGTGCAGCAGAACGTACAAACGTGTTTCTCGGTTTAACTAAGGTTTATTTCGTGTAATATAGGTGACCTTAATTTACTCAGCAGTCGATGTTATCAGCCTTTTGGCGGCATTCCGGCCGTCAGTCAGGAAAAAAAAGCTCCAACTCCCGACATGAAAAATTAGACAATGTTAGTTTGCTGTTAACAAGTGAAAATATCTTAAAATATCACAGTTTTGCATAAAACAGAAATAATATACTAACCTTTTGTCGAGTTAACGGTGCATTTCTCTTTTGTCCTTTTACGGCCACTTCCACCAAACAGTCAAAAAATATCTCCCTTGCCATTGGTCAGTTTTTCGCGGGCAAGTTCACTACTGTAAATTGATTTACAGTAGTGAGGAAATACAGTAGTGACCGTATATTTTCCCATAATCCTTTGCGGTTTACAGTAAAATACTGTATACACATTTTACAGTATCTTACTGTACATATTACAGTATAATACTGTTCAGATTACAAAAATCAGTTACTCAGTTACAGTTAATCTGTTTTATTGTGTCCTCGGAGTCAAGCACTGTGAAACCAAAGGCTGATGGGCAAACGACTGTACTGCTTCAAACTGTTAAAGTGTGGATAGAGGGTCTGGCGGGTAGAAAATTAGTATGTTGCTTGTTGGATGGAGGCAGCCAAAGAAGCTTTGTGCAAGAGAGTCTAGTAAAAAACACTAGCATTACCAGTGCTAAATGGAGAGAAGCTAGATCTTCACAGTTTCGGAACTGAGTGTCAGTGATTACAGTGAATATCATGAAGTTGCCATTTGGAAGTATATGGAACACTTACTTTACTTTACTTTACTTTTAGTCATTTAGCAGACGCCTTTATCCAAAGCGACTTACAAATAAGAAGTAATTAAAACTAAAAGCTAAAACTCTATAAATACTGTGTGTATATATATATATATATATATATATACACATTTAAGAAAATTAAATAAATTCAATAAAAATGACAAATGCATACAACAACATTTCAAAACTAAACATTTAAATGAAAACAAAATAAATAAAGTATAATAATGATTCTAACATAACACTAAGCCAAACACCAAAAAACAACTACATATGTGTATGTACAGCCACACACATATACATGTACATATATATAAATACATTCAATATATATAATTTAATTTCCATTTTGTATGTTGAAGTACTGAAATAACTCAAATTAAATAAAATTAAAACTTAATAAAAAAAACTATATAGACATAATAAAAAACTAATAAAATGACAACATTACTACAACTGTAACTAAAACTAAAATAGATAACTAATACAAATCAAACTACATTAGTTTATCAGTAATCCTAAAAAAATAACACTGAGCCAAACACACATGCCTAAATAACAACAACTTACTGACACATAGTAAGAAATGGTTATAAAAAACTGAAACAGAAGTGAAACAAGTAGTAGGAAAGAAGAGAAATAAAAAGCGAAAACGTTACTTATCCTTTGCCGGTGTCCCTGCCCGGTGGAGTCGCACGGTAGAGTCGATGGTCTTTACAATCTTTGGTCTTCACGCGACCGCTTCCACGGTAAACTACGCTTCTTTTTTATTTGTTTAACAACTCAAATTGAATTCAGCTGGACACACTTTCCTCTTTATCACAACAAATGGCCAAGCAAAGCGCACGCCACTGACAAGGTACGCGATACAGTACGAGACCAAACACGATTTCAGCACGTCTCCACAGTAAACAAAACAAGCGTTTCCTAGCAACGACAACTGCGCTAAACACTGAGACAAGAAATAAATACACTTACAGCTGCTTTTAACTTCTGCTGATTGACTGCTTCTCATAAAGCGTATTTCTTTACACTGTTTTGCTGGCGCCTGAACACACTTTCCTCTTTATCACAACAAATGGCCAAGCAAAGCGCACGACACTGACAAGGTACACGATACAGTACGAGACCAAACGCGATTTCAGCACGTATCCATTTGAACACAAATGAAAGAACAGAAATGGCAGAAATTGGAACTCCTCAAGTCTGTACTGCTTTTATGAAAGTTCCTGGAGAACATGTGCAAAAGAAGTTCGAAGCTAAGGGTCTGCAATTCGCTGAATTTTTCTTTTAGCACACTAATGATTCTGAGAGTTCAGTGTTAATAGGAGCAGACTACTAATGGCAAGTGGTATTAGGTAGGGTTGAGAGATTAACCAAATCTCTTGTAGCCCTGGAAAGTATTTTTGGATGAGCTAAACAAGGACCAATTCCCATGTCTAGTGTAACAGACACAACATGCATGCAAATCTGTTTAGAAGAAGATGTACATATTTCAAAACAGTTGTGTGCCTTTTGGGAAGTAGAGACTTTGGGCACACTGAACAAGACAGCTGGAAGTCCAGAAGAAAAAGAAGCTGTACAACACAGACTGTAACTTTGGTAACACTTTATTTTGATAGTCCACTTTAGACATTCTACTAACAGCAAGTAACTTTGCATCTACATGTCAACTAGTAGTCAATAGAGTATTAGTAGACTGTCTGCTTAATATCTTCTAACACTTTATTTTAATGGGTCCACAACATATAACATACTGACTGTGTCAACTTATTCTACTAACCCTAAACCTAACCTAACAGTCTACTCTGAGAGTTAGTAGAATTAGTTGACATGTAGTTGCAAAATTACTTATAGTTAGTAGAATGTCTAAAGTGGACTATCAAAATAAAGTGTAACGTAACTTTTAAGGATGGATATTATCAGGTAGAGTTACTCTGGAAACCAAATATACCAGAACTACCAAACAGCTTCAGGGTGGCTATATAGAAAAGGGTTGAGAAGCTGCAGAGAAAACTAAAAGCTGATGTAACCTTTTCCACAAATTACAGAGACGTAATACTACAAGACTGTTTACAGCAAGGCAGTCACTGACTCTTAGTTTAAAACCAGAGTTAACTATCTGGTTTCTTCAACTTCCACTCGAGAAGAAATCTGCCTTTAAACTTAAAGAACTAAAGATTGACATTTATCGTGATAATTATCGTTATCAACTGATATGAAAATTTTTATTGTGATAATTTTTTTGATATATTGCCCAGCCCTAGTGGCTTGCTGCCGTTGCAGCTCATCTGAGTTTTTTCCTAGCTTTAATGGTGTCACTGTCAGCCGGCTTACGAATGCAACCAGGAAAATGGCCCTAGGGGAACATTTATTTCTCGGGGAATCGGCTTGGTGGCTAGTTCCTATAAATATGTTCTTATAACTACCCGGTGCGAAAGCCCCAAATGGTGAGCTTAGTGCTCGCCTGAGTTTCATGTATTCACCTACTGCAGCATGTGACTACTGCCTGACTCCTGTATCAACTCATATTTAGATTTACGCAGCTCCCCAGAGTATTTATGAGGAAGCTCTTGCTTAGTTGAAAGATTCTGAGGCAATGGTGCTCCACACAGAGTTATACAGTGGCTGACACCACCTTGCTCTCAAGCGGCATTGGATATTGCGATGCAGTAGCTTGATTCATTTTTTCCAGAGAAAGGGAGGTCTCATTTTCTTCTCTCAGGGAACCATGGTTATGTTGAGTAACCTGAGACATTTTGTGCCTGCAGATAGAAAGAGAGTATGCTGTTCAAAAGGCTCTGTATTCTGTTGGCTTTCCTGTTCCTCATTCTGTGCTGTACTGCACAGATACTCATGTCATCGGCACAGAGTTTTACATCATGGAACATGTACAGGTACTCATAACCAGTAAATGTTAACTTCATTCAAATTTCATTCAATAAATTAATTCATATTATTTCTACATTGAACCATATTTGAGTTAAATATAGCCAAACTGAGGCAATTTTTTTTCAAGATTGTAATTCTCTTTGAGATGCAAAGTAACAGCTCTAGCTCAAGCAGTTAATATTACACACTTGGCCAGAAGGGGGCAGGCAAGGTTGTTTTTTTCCCCACCCCACTTATCAGTCCGTTTAGTTATCAATTGTTTATGAATGGTAGGATTCTTTGAAGGATGATGATATACTGTAAATGTACATCTGCACATAAGGGACGTATATTCAGGGACTTGAGGCTCCCAGGGGTCAGTGCGGCAGAGCGGACAGCTCTGTATGTGGCTGCAGTGGAGACGCTAGCCAAACTTCACTCCCTAGATGTCAGTACACTTGAACTCTTGGGATATGGGAAGGGAACAGGTTATTGTAAAAGACAGGTGAGATGATAAAATCATCAATGAGTTATTAATTTGAAATCTGTATTTTAATTCTTATTATTCTTTAAAGCTACGGTCATCTTTTCACTCATCAAAAAAAACAAAACTTTTTTTCTTCCAGGTCTGCACATGGACAAAGCAGTACAAAGCCTCTGCCCACAAAGAGATACCAGCCATGGATAAACTTTCTGATTGGCTAAGCCGCAACCTGCCAACCAATGACAATGAAGTGTCCCTGGTTCATGGCGATTTCCGAATTGACAACCTGATATTCCACCCTACAGAGGTACTGATACTTGATGCACATGCATTTAAAATCGTTCAAAAGTTTTCTTAATGTTTTTGTTTTTCTTAATGTTTCACCAAAGCTGCATTTATTTTTGAAAAAGAAAAAAAAAGAGAGAGACAAAAGATAATATTGTGAAATATTATTACAATTTAAAACTATTTTAATATTTGAAAAAATTTAATTGATCCCTGTGATGGCAAAGTTGGATTTTCAGCAGTCATTACTCCATTCTTTAGTGTCACATGCTAAATTTTTTCAGGATTCTTCAGTATAATTTAAAATTGAATTTAGAAATCTTTTGTAGTTGATTATGTGTACTTACTGAATGAAAGTATTAGTTTCTTTAAAGGTTTTTTTGAAAATTTATAAACATTTGTAGAACACAATATGAAGTATGGAAATTCCTCCATAGAATCTTCGTAACTAACTTTAACGGGATCTCCCTTCTGCTGTTCTAATGCCGTAGGCCCTTCTTTCTTTTTCAGACCACAAAAAAAGAAACTTAAAGAAATGTCCCGCTCATGCTCATCCATATTATGGCAGTGAAAAGAGACCGGCAACAAGCTATCAACAAATGATGCAAAAGTATCAAGTAATCTTGATTTCTTGCAGTTTGTGTGCTTTTCTGGGCGAGTTGGAGTGAACTGCTTTGCTAATAAAGTCTCATGTTTGTACAGTCGTGCATAGAAACCAATGTCCAAGGTCAGGATTTTCGTTAAATAACACATTAGAGGTACAAAACCCACACAATACTTAAAGTATAAGACACGTGTGGCATGGGACTATTCTGTAATACTTTTGTGTCTTTTAATAGCTGGTTGCTATTCACTGTCATTATATGAACAAGCGGGGACATTTCTTTAAATTTCTTATTTTGTGCTCTGAAAAAGAAAGAAGAGCATATGGCATTAGAACAACACAAGGGGAAGTAAATGGTGGCTTAATTTTCAAAAATTCAAAGAGAAAATGTTTAACGATTACAGTGGTGTTACCTTTATGGATTCAATCAGAGACTTAAGACTTTTCCAGCTTCCCGTCAGTAAATGATTTATTACAAAGAGAATTGTAAAGATCAAGTGAATCAAAACTGACTGGCAGAGCAAGTCTTTAATTAACCTCCAATTATAATGTCACATCTTTGAGCAGAATGTTCTTAATGAGCCTATTAAAACTCTACTTTCCCACATAATTGTGTGGAAGTGATTGGTAATTGATATACCAATGTGTGTTTCTGTCAGTCAAACCAAAAACTCAGTTCCTCCCATACATTAATTCATACTTTTTGTTATTTGAGAAGAAATGTTACTGGATCTGGGTCTCCTGAAAGCTTTATGGTCTCTCTGCAGGCTCGTGTATTGGCTGTACTGGACTGGGAACTGTCCACTACCGGACAGCCAATAGCAGACTTGGCCTACTTTCTCATGCCACACTACTGGCCCAGTCACTACAAAGTCATCAGCACAATGGGTGGAGTCACAGGAGTGGAAGGTGGGGCATCTCTCTCTCTCTTTTTTCTCTCTCTATATTTCATGTATTAATCCATACATTGCTTTTGAACAGGAATTCCCTCTCCAGATGACCTTATCTCCATTTACTGCCATTGTCGAGGCATCCCAAACTCTCTTCCCCAGCAAAACTTCTTCATTGCCATGGCTATTTTCAAAATGGCTGCAATTGCACAGGTATTGAGTTTTAAAAGTTAATGCCGACCATGCCAAGTCATTGTTGATTAAAACAAAGTTAAACTGTGCCAATCAGATAAAGACATTCGCTGATATGGAGAAGGTAAATGCACCTGCTGCAAAGGGGCAGTTTTTTATTTCACAAAATGACAGTTAAAGCTATTATAGCTATATTTATCCAAGATTATTACACGAGTTCTTATCAAATTATTAAATTAAATGACATTAAATATCATTGTATGTTGAAGTATTCATTATTTGAGAAAAAGAGAGTTGAGTGCTAAGAGAGACATGAAACTAAGCACAGCTATATTTCGTTCAACAATTTGGGGTCAGGAAGTTTTTTTTAAAATAAATGCATGCTTTTATTCAGTAAGGATGTATTAAATTGATCATGAGTGACAGTAAAGACATTCATATTTGCCATCACAGGAATAAATTACAGTTTAAAATATATAAAAATTATAAACAGTTATTTTAAATTGTAATTTTTCTTTCAAAAATATTAAATCTTACCAACCCCAAACTTTTGAACGCTTGGCTAGTGTAAGTAGGAAATTTATTGTTTGAGACAACAGTCAATTATACTTAATTTAGTTAACGGGCATTATACAAATATATTTTTCTGCATTAAAGACAAGTCAGATTCAAGTATCCCTGAACCATGTAACAAAATGAGAGAAGTGTATTTTAATAAACATATTAATTGAAGGCTGATGATTTTACTCCCAGAATGCCAATTGTGTTGTTCAAGGTAGCAAATGATTGGTAAACCTTGTGTTAATTTTGTTTTTTGAAACACACTGCTATACACACAGGGAAAGTGATACTATTTCCTGTGTCAGGAAAGCACACAGGGTCTAAACTTACTAAGTAATTTTTCTTTCCCCATTTTAGGGGATATATGCAAGGCATTTGTTGGGCAATGCCAGTTCTCTTAACGCAGCTGAGTTTGAAGAGAGTGTGGAGCCCTTAGCTGAGCTGGGTTTACAGATCGCCCTTAGGTACAAAATCACAATCTCAACTCTACATGCACATTAGAGTAAATACCTGCTTGACAGATTATTTGTTAATGATTATTTTCAGGTTTTCAGTGTCCAAAAAGACATTTTAAGGATATATTTCCTTATTAGCAAGTTTTGTTTAATGAGCAATCTGTGTTTTGGTTGTATTTTTGTGGCTTATTTTGAAGTTGTTTCCTTAGAATCAGAATATGTAATTAAAGGTGTTTCCATGTAAGCAGGGTACATAATTATTGTTTGTATTTTTATTGTCAGGGTATGTGGTTTAAAATTGTAATTATATGTAATTATAAATGTTGATAATAGTTTATAAAGGATGCATTTTTTATCTGCAGCTCCACGTTAGCTATGCCGATCTCTAAAGAGCTGTTCATGCTGTCACCCAAAGGTCAGGCTGTCCTTCAGCATGTGAAAGAGTTCATGAGAAAGCATGTACTTCCTGCCCAACAGGTCAGCACTGCCGTCATCTCTGTTGGACACTCTGTTTGAGTACATAAAGATAAAGATATAAAATAATGAATACTATAAATTATAAATAATTAAAATTAAAAGGTAAATAAAACTATAAAAATATACTAAATAATGATAATGATTAAATCATTATAATGATTTAAAAAGATGACTATGACCCCCCCCCCAATATTTCATATGTTTTTAGGAAGTAAAAGAGTACTACGCCAAGCACAAAGACACACCTGAGAGATGGCACACACCTGCTGTGATAGAGAAGTTGAAGGTGATGATACATACAATCATGCATTATTTACATATAGTACCATCATATCATGTCATATTAGTAAGATTTAAAAAAAAGAGTTAAATAAATTAATTACTAGTTTTTCATCAAGGATTCCTTAAGTTGATCAAAAGTGAGTGCTATTTTTATTTCAAATAAATGTTGTTTTGAATTTAATATTTATCCTGAAAGAAGTCATGTTTTCCACAAAAATATTAAAATAAATTAAACACGAAAAACAGTTATTTTAAATAATGATACAATTTCACATGGAAGTAAAAGAGTACTACGCCAAGCACAAAGACACACCTGAGAGATGGCACACACCTGCTGTGATAGAGAAGTTGAAGGTGATGATACATACAATCATGCATTATTTACATAGAGTACCATCATATCATGTCATATTAGTAAGATTTAAAATAGTTAAATAAATTAATTACTAGTTTTTCATCAAGGATTCCTTAAGTTGATCAAAAGTGAGTGCTATTTTTATTTCAAATAAATGTTGTTTTGAATTTAATATTTATCCTGAAAGAAGTCATGTTTTCCACAAAAATATTAAAATAAATTAAACACGAAAAACAGTTATTTTAAATAATGATACAATTTCACACTATTCAAATTTTTACTGTGTTTTTAAATAAATTAGTCTTGGTGAACAAAATGTATTGAATAAGAAAATTAGTTGGAACTGTAGTTGGGAGGATGTTCTTTGTATGTATTAATGAAGTCCTTGTGAGCAGGCAAAAGCTCGAGCTGCAGGCCTGTGGAATTTGTTTCTTCCGGCTGAGAGTGGCCTCTCTCAGCTGGATTATGCTCATATCGCAGAGGAGACCGGACACTGCTTCTACTCCCCCGAAGTCTTCAACTGCCAGGCCCCAGGTGGGTGTGTGTTTCTTCATAAGTCAGAAATTTTACTGTTTTTATGGAGCTTTTAGATTATGGCTTTAAGGTACACTCATACTTAGGGTTTTATACTGCAGAATGATAAAATAACATGAATTATATGCAGATTTACAGCTATAATTACTGAAAATTAGTCTGCCAGGCCCCAGGTGGGTGTGTGTTTCTTCATAAGTCAGAAATGTTACTGTTTTTATGGAGCTTTTAGATTATGGCTTTAAGGTACACTCATACTTAGGGTTTTATACTGCAGAATGATAAAATAACATGAATTATATGCAGATTTACAGCTATAATTACTGAAAATTAGTTTTTTTTAGAGAATGTGATTTTGCCATATTTATTGTAAGTTATATGTCATAAGTTTGTGTTATGTAGAAATACTAATGTTTACAACAAAACATCTTTATCAACACTACATCTGTATATGCAATAGGATTTGACAAGTTTTACACGTCAGCATTATATAGAAAGTATGAATGGTTTAAATGGTAGCACTAATATGTAAAATTCTTCTTCTTATATGTAAAATTTTTCCCTTATGTGACATATGGCAGAGTGAAACGGCTTCTCAGGAAAAAAAAAAAAAAAAAGTAGGGCAGGAATTTCAATTTCATGTGAGTGACAGGTTGTTGGAGGGAAGGGATTATTGACCCGCCCGATTGCAGATAGGACGTTAATTATTATGAGAGTACATGAATTAAAATAATGATGTGCACAAATAAACCATTTATAACAAACACTGCAACATTCCAGAAAAATATAAGAATTCTCAATTTTGATTTCATTGTATAACTCTCTAACAGACACTGGCAATATGGAAGTTCTGCACCTGTTTGGCACTGAGGAACAGAAGAGGCTCTGGCTGGAGCCATTACTAAGAGGAGACATACGGTCATGCTTCTGTATGACAGGTAATGTGTAAAATGTATTAATTGACTATTCAGTCTAAAGAAAACCTTGTATAATTAGGCTGGTTTCAGGTTCGTAGATCCGATGGACATGTTGCTTTGGTGGACATGTGTCTTTGGGATGTTTACATATTCATTAAACAGCTGGACTGAGCGTAACATATTGGAACAGAACATAGTGGTAGGACACAGTTTTAAAACTTGGACAAACTCAAGCCTCTCTAATGTGACACATATTCACTAGTACTCACTTGACTTAAAAGGAGGATTTATAATTAAGTTAATAATAATATCTGTGTTCATTGAGTAAACAAGGAGAAAAATAGTTGGTCAATTTGATCAACAAAGTGATTTTGATTCTTTTGCTAATTGAGCAAGCCAAAAGATGACTATAGATTGTGTGAGCACATGTGTAATAGTGATTAAAGAGGCATCAAGTTTCTCAACATATGCAGATGGTGCTGTAATGCCCCCAGAGTTTTCAGATGTGTTGATGTATGACAGTTTTCCCCATTATTTCTCCCTGTGTGTGTGCATGTGTGTCGTTTTAGCTGTCATACTACAGACAATAGCTGTAATTCTTATTCATGATTATGTAACAAATGTCACGTCATATAAAATATCTACACTAGGTTATCATTTCCACCTTGACAGCCAGTCTCTCTGTTTGTGTTTTGTCACTCTGTTGTTTACCACCAGATATTATCCTCTAGTGCAGTGGTTCTCAGTCTTTTTGTCTCCAAGGTTCCATTATTGTCCACAAAAACACTTAAAGTGTTTTTAAATTAAATTTACAAAAACATGATAAAATGTTTTAGAGCTTGGCTTAACTAGACAAAATACATATTCATTATAAAAATGGCATTGGATTTTAGGATCTTACAAATTTACATAATTTTCCCAGGTCTAGAAGTCCCTCATATATCCAGGTTTTCCAATATGGTTGAGGGGGTGAATTAAAATAAATAAAATAAAAAAAATTTAGTCTACTTTTAAATCTTTTAAATTAATTTTGAGGCACCCCCCCAGTGGGCCAATAAGCCGACCTTGGCCATTTAGTACACTTAGTAGCAAAGAAGTAATCTTTTGTGAATCTTCAATAACATATTGTCATATAAATATTCAATAAGTAATTTGTGAGTTTCAGTCTTTTTGACCATTGATTAAAAAGACTTCCTCATGTTAGCCATTTGTTCATGAACCAGACTACAGTGGTAATGTTTGTTTGTGAATCAATGACAATTAATAGTGTCCACAATAATGAAAAGGAAAAATCTTTTAGAAGTCTACTTTAAAATGTGTTTTAAAAATGACAGTTCTTAGAAATGTCATCTTTGTATGTACACGATGTTGGTTTCATATTGTTTTGAAAAAAAATGCTATTTTCAAGAAATTTTATTTAATAACTAATTTAATAAAATGTTGTGTGTGCACTTTGTATTGATTGTTTTCAAAAACATTTTGATGTTAATGAAAATCAAATTAGATTTTAAGAGACTTGTGCTTTGACGAAACAAATAATGCAAAACACAATGTTAGAGAATTTTTTTAAATACTTGGGGTGGGGGGGGGATAAAATTAATTGACTGCTTTTTTTCTAAAATGATTTTCATCTCTGATCCTAGTACTCTGTCTGTTTTTCTCTATTCTAGAGCCGGATGTTGCTTCAAGTGACGCCACAAACATGGAGTGCACCCTTCACAAAGACAAAGACCATTTTATCATTAATGGCAAAAAGTGGTGGAGCAGCGGTAAGCGTGTGAATGTCACAGTACGAGATTGAAAGTAGGAGTGGAAAGGAAATATTTTGTTTGTTAGTTGTCAAGAAAAGAAATTGTGATTTTTAGGGTTTTACTCCTGTGGAGACTAAACACGTTAAAAGGAAAACTGAACAGCGGGAGTTTAGTTTTCATAGCCTTAGTGTTTTAACCAATATCTTACCACAAAGACATAAAGAAATATATCACTAGAATGATTCATCCCATAAAACGACCCCGTTCATCCAAATCTTCTCGATGACTGGCATGACATTTAAAAAACATTTAAGATGTTTACACAAACCAGCTATGCAGAATCTGTGAACGATAAACACAGACTTGGGGAACTCAAAGCGATCACAACGGGTGGCAAAGCAGAAACAGACCAATTAGTCGAAGTTCCTGCCTTCAGCTTCACAGACCTAGAACTGAGTTGCGAGGATAAGCCTGCTATCATCTCTTCCTGCCTTTGACAAGATTCTGAAAAAGTTGCATTTTGAAGGTTTTTCCCATTGCAAATGACGCAGGCTAACATAATTTGGTAAAAGCCTAATTTTCTACTTGAAAACTGAATCACGATGAATCATCTTTGAGTCATTTTCAAAAATTAATAAGCTGAAATGAACAGCCTACCATAAGAGCTGTAAACTCACTCTCTCTTGCTTTCATTTTCATTTATATTTTTTGGAAAGCTGACCGCAGGAATGCGTAATTGCATTTTGTTGACGTGTGGAACAGCAGTTGCACGATACAAAGATTAAAAACAATCTTTATGTGATGAAAGGCAGTTTTACCATTTATTGCGGTAAGATAACATCAATGATCAGGGTTTAAACTTGCATTTCATCCTGTTTACAATGCTCAAGGTTGTTTTTCGATCTGTATGGGATGTTTAGAAGTGCTTTGGTATTTGTCTCTTAGAAACTGTCCCCTGTAGAACATTCCAGATGGTTCTAGCTGTGGGTATTTGTGGTTTCGAGGCCTTCTGAATTAAACATCCTCAAAGCATGACAAAGGACCAAAGGCCTGTTGTTCTCTGCATCATCACACCAAATGAACTCCATAAAGTCTGAATTCGCTTTAAACGGCTTCAGCAAATCTCAAATCTTTACAACATTCTATTATTATGATAATGAGTGTTTGAAGTTGACTTGAACCAAAACTGACCTGCTTAACTTTCTTAATATGCATTTTTTTTTTTATTGTGAATGATTTATTGGTGCACATTATTCCACTATGTAATATTTAATTAACGAAATGTTTTGTAAAGTTTTGTTTTGAAACACAAGGTATTAATTAAGGTATTAATTTATACTTTTTAAATTAACTAACTTTATTATTGTTATTATTATTATTATTATTATTATTACTACTACTATGAGGTGAAAAAAATAAATGACCAATAATAATTTATATCTATTTGAAATTATATTTTCTATTATAAATTATTTTATTTATGTCTAGAAATGGAAATATATTAAATTTTACAATGCAATCAAATCTTGATAGTTAAAATCATTGTTCATTGAGTTAATCTTGGAACTGTAAACTCATTTGTATTTCTATGAAAACTGAACGCGGAAGTAAAATGGCTAGCAAATGTTTTAAATGTTTTGAAAAAAAAAAAGTTTAGTTTTTTATGAATGTCTGCATCAGAACTACTATTGCATGCAACAGTTTGCCAGTTTGAAGCCCCCGGTATCACTTGAAACCATATTATTTTGTTACCCCGTACAGTAAATCCTGTTTCACAGAAATATGATTTGCAAGCACATATCACATACCAAATGTTTTGGATGGTGAAGTTTATGGGTGGTCGGTTCAAAGTTATAAGAGAAAAATATGGTCAGATATGAATGGTGACAAGTTGTGAGATCTTTTTTGTTTGATCTGACTTGTCACCAAAGTTGTTTTGTGTGTCTCTGAGGAGTTTTAAAATACTGTCATCAACGTACAGTATGTGATCTTTGTGTCCTTGAGCAGTAGAAATTCCAACTTTCCAGTGCTATCTCTTTCCTATTTTAACCCGCACAGATGTACAGATTCATCATCAGTACAAAGGGTAAATTATAAGTGTGACAAATCCAAATCATTTGGTTACAAGATGAGCCTGTCGTGTGTAAGAACTCCATATCTCAAAAATCTCTCTTTTTTTTTTTTTTTTTTTGAGAGGCACAGATGGTGTTTTTCACTACTATCATAAACCACCATCAGTTCTGGGGACTGCTAAACATATCTTTATTGTTGAGACATGTGGAATGAATTTCAAACAGTTAATCATAGTCAGTGCAATGACAGTCAATGGCCAAACACTTCATGTATCATCTAAGAGCCTTCGGAAAGTACACTTAACTGCAGTCCAACCTTGTTGCATATTTCAGGTTTGTTTTTCCACTAAAATCAAGTGTTGTTTTATTTATAAGACCTTTTGGTTTGCATGTCTTCTGGCTAGAAGGGTAGTTGTTGTTTAAATGAAAGAATGCTTCTAGTTCCTTTGGTTTTCCTCGGCACACTTTGCAGTATGCCGATATAATGAGATGCCCAAACAGAATGCATTTACTTGTAAAAATGTGTGTAGTTTGTTTATGCAGCGTGTTTGTATTCACATGCATTAAGACCAGATTTTGTTGGAGGATTAGCATGTATTCATTATACATACAGTATACTTTGTATACACTTATATTTACAACTGTGTGCTTTATAGATGACTATATAAATGTCTTGGTGTACTCTGCCATATCTAAATTGCTTATTGAACTTATATTTTTTTAATATATCATTTTATCACATTTCCTGAGGTGCACTTATAATGTTAGTAGGATTTTTTTATTTTTGGAGTGTTACAAGCTCTTGGTGCATAAAGAAGATCTGTAAAGTTGCAAAGACTAAAGTCTCAAATCCAAAGAGATATTCTTTATAAAAGTTAAGAGTCAACCACACCCTCCTAAAACGGCTCATTCTAACACACCCCCACATGTCTACGTCACGATGTGGGAAGATTTGCATAATGCCGCCCAAATGTTCACGCAAAGAAAGAAGGCGTAACTTTTATTCTCGCTGTTGCCGCTGCTGCCATGTTGTGGAGTGTGTTTCGTTGTAAAAGCATTATAAAAGTTTTGATCTGTGTAGAGTAGGCTTGTTGTTTGTTGTTTCTCCGATCACAAATGCAGACATTGTTTTATGTTTACGCAGCACGATACGCAATGCGTAAAAAGACAGTATAAGTCATTATAATCAGTAATTATGTCCCAACTGGATGCAACAAATGCCTTGTTTGTAATGGGTTTTATTGGTTTTGTCTCGTGTAGTGATGTCCGGATCACGATCGAATCGTTCTATTTCACCAAATCGAACTGAATCGTTTGAAACGGTTCACGACTCAAGTACGCACTAATCCAAAAATGAATTCAGTTATTAAGGTTTATAAACGTGCCTGACACTTCCTCTGATGCTAAATAAATCAATATCCCGAGTTATTCAGTTACTCCTAACAGTACATTGACTGAATTGACTGACGGGATGTGCACGAGCAGAGCAGCTGGACTGAGTCTTGTCCTGCTGGGAGAAGGCATCACATTATGTTAAGGGGAAAAATTTTTTGACAAAATTATAAAATTTGAGCAGGGGAAGTTTCTGAGATTTGGTTGATTTGACATGGAATGACCCGGTACTCCTTGAGAGAAGCAGTCAATCAGGAAGTTGAAAGCAGTGTGTACAGTAAGTGTATTTATTTCTTGTCTCATTAGTTTTTAGCTCAGTTGTCGTTGCTAGGAAATGTTTTTTTGTTTACTTGGTCTCATGCTGTATCGTGCACCTTGTCAGTTTTGTGCGCTTGCTTGGCCGTTTGTTGTGTTAAACAGTAAAGCGTATTGAATTCAGTTACAGTTTGTCAGACAGTTATAAAAAGGTTAGTATACCGTGGCAGCTGTACTGTTGCTTACAGTAAATGTTGTGGCATTGCTTTCAGATCCATATCTTACAGTAAAAGTCAAGCAAAGCTTACACTGAATTGTGACTGATTTACCAAAGAATCTGCAGTGAAATGTACCAAACAAACAAATGATGCTTTACTGAGACATTCACATTGAAAATAAATAATCAGTTTCAGTGCTCGTTAGGGCTGGGTATCGAGTTCGATACTTTTTAGGCACCGACCGAATTGCCTCGATACTATCGAGTATCGAAAAACGTCTCGTCGTTCGGTACCAAATTTCGATACCTAAGGGGTTAATCTCACCAACGTCAGTAAAGCGCAGATCGATCAGTGTTTGACATCCGCGAGAGCGATGCGAAAACGTACGGAGCAGTCTGCTCGTGTCTTACTATAGCCTAAATGCACCGATAGGTCTGCACAGTCGGTCCGCGGCTGTGACACTCAGAGATGTGGCTCACACGTGAGTATTTAGTGGGAATGCATCCCAGCCCCCGTAGCTGTAAGGCTACATTTACACTGGCGCGCTTTTGTTTTAAAATGAAAACGATCCTCGTCTGTGACCATTCATGCACACTGTAGCATCATGCTACATAAGACCAGGGTTTAAATTGGGCCGGGCCGTCTGGGGCTAAGCCCCGGCACATAGACTCCAGGGCTTGATATTAACTCTTCATTAACGCTAGACAAGTAACATGATTAAAACATCAGTAAACAAAAATAACTATGTAAACACCAAAACGCAATATTATTCAGATTTTATTACATTTAGAGTAAGTGGCGAATAGTGGATATCTAATGTATCTATTGACAGTATAAGGTTGCGATGCTTGAGGTGAGGCTCATGCAGCCTCTCCAGGAGAAATCAAAACGCGCAACACTAAGAAACTCGGCATCCTGAGGTAAAAATTGAAAATGGAAAGTTTTTATATTTAAAATACAGTTAATTAGGCAACATCACACAACGTTTTCACCATTACGACTGTTTAATAGGTCTATAAACAGTTCAATAAGCAAATACAATAATATTAGGTCACTTACATTTTAGGCAGAAACAGCGCAT